GGCCGGCGCGGCGCCGCTGCCGCCGGCCGGGCGGCGCTCCTTCTCGGAGCCGGCCTTGGAGTCGCCGAGCGCGGGCGGCGGCAGCCTTCGCGGCGGCGCGTTTGGCGGCGCGGCGGGCGCGAGGGAGCCCGGCCTGGCGTGGGACCTGCACTTCATGGCGCGGCGCATGGCGATGGAGGGCTCCGCCCATGGCAACCAGCAGGCGGCGAGGTGGGCGGAGGGGGGGGGCTGCGTCACAGCGGTCGTCACCAGGGGGCAGGGCCGTCCCCGTGAGTGAAGAGCTGCCCCAGGCCGGCTTACTGCCAATAAGGCGGATACTTTGAGAGCGGATGGCTCGCTGCACTTGTGGCTTTTTCTCCTCCCAAGCACTGCTGATGCTGCGCCCGCCCGTCCCTGTGCCCCTCCCTGCCACCCTCCCTTTGCCAGGCTGATGCACGCCGCCTACAGCCATCACGCGCCCGATGCCGACTCCCCGGCGCCCGCGGCGGGCCGCCTGGAGGGCAGCTGGCACGGCCCCTTGTCGGCCGCAGAGCTGCGCCGCAGCCTGACCCAACTCAGCTCCCCCGCGGCCCTCGCCCCCGGGAGCCGCCCCGCGCCGGGGTCGGCCATACTGGGGGACGAGACCTGGCATGGCGGGGCGCGCGGCGTCGGCGGTGCCGGCACCGGCGGCGCGGCGGCGCTGGCGGCGCTTACGGGGGCGCACCCTTCTGAGGTGCAGCGGTTCCTGGAGCAGGCGCGGCAGCGGCGGCAGGAGCAGCGCAAGGTGGCGCGGCTGGTGCTGGAGGGCTCCACGCGCGGCGGCCGCGAGGCCGGGGTCGCGGCAGCGGCAGCGGCGCGGGAGGGGAGGGACGCGGCGGGGGGCGGAGGGGGAGGCGGGCTGCTGCACAAGCTGAGGACGGGGGTGGCGCGTGCGCTGGGGAGGGACGAGGCGGCGCTGAGCGGTGAGAGGGGCGGCACCTCGATTCTAATGGTCAATCTGAACAGCGGCGGGTCGATCAGACCGCGCGACACATGCTACATGGTGACAGGCATGGCTGGCCCCGCTGTTGCCGCGCACCCTCTTGCTTCCTCGTATCGCCTTGCCAGGGATCTGACAAGGGTTCGAGGCCTGTATACAACACTGTTTTCCTGCCTTGCCTTCAACTGCCAGCTGTTGAGGCGCACGTTCAACCAACCCAACCCCTCGTGCCTGCGCATTCTCCGCCAACAGGCCCTATGGCCGCCAGCACCCCCTCGGCGCCGCCCCGCGCCGCCATCCGCCGCACCGCAAGCCAGGAAAACGTGTCCGAGGCGCCACAGGGCACCGTCCCGCTTTCCGAGATTAGGATCGGCGCTTCCCAGGCGGCCCCAGAGGGGCGCAGCCTGGAGGTCGGACGCAGGGGCCAGGGCGCCTACGCCGCCCTCATGGCAGGCGGCGCGGCGGCCGACGGGGGCGGGGACGGCGGCGGGGACGGAGAGAGCGAGTCTGGCGGGCGGCGCCGCGGCGGCGGCGGGCTGTTTGCAGCAGCAGCAGGGGGTACAGGGGGCGGCGGCGCGCCTGCCGAGCAGCTGCCGGGGCAGGAGACGGCGGCAGCGGCACCGGAGCAGCGGGGTGGCGTGGCGGTGGCGATGGAGGGTGATGGGGGTGCTGACAAGGACAAA